GTGTGTGTATGAATATTTAAATATTTTTAGATAGCTATCTATATATGCATATACATACATATACATATGTATATATATATATATATATATATATATATATATATATATATATATATATATATATGTATATATATATATATATATATATATATATATATATATAATATATATATATATATATATATATATATATATATATATATATATATATATATATATATATATATGTATACAGATAGATAGAACATGGACTACAACCAAATTACTGGAGAATGAACTTATATACGTACATGACGCTGTGTAGGTTATGATTATTTAAGTCGCCGGAATTTATTCATCTGGCATTTTCATGCTGATACTCTTTTGCATGTAAGCACAAGATAAAAGTATGCAACATAACTTAGGGCATATATATATATATATATATATATATATATATATATATATATATATATATATATATATATATACATATATATATATATATATATATATATATATATATATATATATATATATATATATATGTATGTATGTATGTATATATGTATATACATATATATATATATATATATATATATATATATATATATATATATATATATATATGTCTGTATGTATGTATATATGTATATATTATATATATATATATATATATATATATATATATATATATATATATATATATATATATATATATATATATGTACACACACACACACACACACACACACACACACACACACACATATATATATATATATATATATATATATATATATATATATATATATATATATATATATATATGCCCTAAGTTATGTTGCATACTTTTATCTTAGTTGTGCTTACATGCAAAAGAGCATCACCATGAAAATGTCAGATTAATAAATTGCGGCGACTTAGATAATCATAACCTACACAGCGTGAGTCACACAAGTGTCGGTAAAAGTTTTGCTTCAGCGGGAATGCTGCTTAATAGATTATCACATTCATTCACACTCTCACTCACTCACTCACTCACTCACTCTCTCTCTCTCTCTCTCTCTCTCTCTCTCTCTCTCTCTCTCTCTCTCTCTCTCTCTCTCTCTCTCTCTCTCTCTCTCTCTCTCTCTCTCTCTCTCTCTCTCTCTCTCTCTCTCTCTCTCTCTCTCTCTCTCTCTCTCTCTCTCTCTCTCTCTCTCGTCCTTATAACCCAAAGGTTCATCCTCATGCGCTTGCCCCTGGATTTTCGCTCTTATGAGGCATCAGCCCAAGAGCGGTCATTTAATTGCCAGAGTTACGATAACTAGTGAGTTTGAATTCCTCAAACTCAGCCGATGGGTACAAAGACACCTATCTTTGGGAGCCTATAGTTGATAAAGTGACGGAACTAGTGACTGTGTTTCATGAAATAATCCATCTACCCATTTTATGCAGTCAGTGCCGAAAAAGCAATGTATAAATTTTGACTTAATCGAATATGTATGTATCTTTTTGTTGTTGTTGTTTTTTGTTACTGTTCATCACGTTTCCGCGTGCGTTGAAGTCTCTCCTGCTCGTTCCTGAGACATCTTGTACGCATTGTGATTCGTCTGTCACGCTAAAATGAGGGAATTATCATATGCATATAATAATAAACTCTGGAGTAATGCCATAAAACTACTCTGTATATATTAGCATTGGTGTAATGTCCTCAAGTTAATGGCGTCACCAATTTCGTGAAAAAGATTAAAAAAAGGCAGTAATTCTAGCCGCGGAAACATCGTTGCGCTATAATCTGAGAAGAAACGAAAGCGAACGAAACTTCCCTGTAGTGGGCAATGAGGGTGGGTCTGGCATGGGTTTATCGTCTGCTGTAGGTAGTTGGGCTCTCGTGTGGTGCGGAGGAGGATCGGAACCATTTCTTCTCGGGAGTCAATGAAACCTGGAAATCTCCAAGAAAATCTGAATCGCTCACACGACGTAAGAAAGAGTTCCTGTACGCGTGGTAAGTGACTTGCGTTCTGGGAGGTTGGTTGGTTGCCAGGCAGTAGATAACTGAGGAATGTGGCCCCCAAAATGTCTGTATGGGAATTATAAGGGTGTAGAAAATGTTGGCCTCCTCTTAGAGGCCAATATACTTGTTTCACGTGAATCTGAGCTGTTACAGAAGTGTGTATTTTGTTAGACACATTGTCGTCCACACGTTCTTCTGCTAAATCCATTGATTCTGCACTGTGCTTGGTTTCAACATGCAGCGTGCGTGACCTTTGCAGTGCTGATTTTATTACAAAAAACAAAGGGCGACACAGTAGGAGTAGTAAGATAACGACTGTGTGATTCAACTTGAACTATCTCTGCTAGATATGGCATGCAGGCGAGCCATGTTTTCAGCGTCCCAGAGCGGCCTTGTAACGTTCGCTGGAGTGTGTGGGAGGCAAAGGATGACATAACCACCGGATATACTTTGTATGTTTCTTGAAATAAACTTGAACAGACCTCATTATGGCACTATCATTTTCTAATGTCACAATCGAGT